TGCCTCCAGCATCCAGACCAGTCTTAAAGGCGGCCCCACATGCAGTGGAATGCAGCAACGCAGGGTTGAGGTCATCAGTGCCCGTTCTGTGGCGATCAAGCTATCACAGTCCGAAGGGAACTGCAGCTGACACAGTAGCTGGAGCTGGCAAAGGCGCTCTGAGCTGCCAGGATCACTTGGGACTCCAGCAACACGATGGATCAAGGAGAGGAGTACCCCGGGACTTTGACCCGGTTCTGTCAGAGGGTGCACAGAGCCTGCCTCCCAGAGTCAAGAACCACTTGCCGTCAGGGCTTCTGTCTTGCCAGGATTCGGCTTCAGTTTATTGGCCCTCACCCAGCCCGTTCGCAGCCTTGGTATTATCCACCCTCACCTGATCCAGACATCACAGGGAGATAGTCCTGCTGCATGTCCTCAGCAAATAAGTTTGGGGGGCTGTACCTCATATGCCATAAAAGTGGTGGATGCCTGTGGGATTGGGGTACCCAAGACCATGATGGTATAATGCATTAAGTTGGGTGATTTTACCTGGATGGTGGCTCCTGAGCTACATTTAGTGCACACTGCAATGGTGTCCACATTTTACAAGTCCCAGAAATGGCCTCTACAAAATCCAGAAGACCTCGGGATTTACACCATTTGCTGAGGAGCGTGGGCAGGTGCAGGTCTTGCTTCCATCCCACTTGAGCAACCCTGTGGGCAACTGATTCGCCACTGTGTGTATGAAATGCTGGGCTAGACAGCCCTTTGGTATGATCCAGCAAGACTTTCTCACGTTCTTATGCAAGATCCTAAGGATGTTCTTCCACCTTTGGCTGCATAATGTGACCTTGTTGACCTTGTCCACCTCCAAAATTTCAGCGGTACTCGCTGAAGCTGCTTCTGCAACACACCAGTGCGGTTCCCCTAAGGTCCAGTAGATGCCTTCAGCAGAAACAAGTAGTAGACCCTTTCCTGGGCAGCACCACTTCAGCCTCCAGATATGGTGCAGTGGGGAGAAATGTTCCATTTTTCAATGCTCTCCACTTATACCAGTCTTCCTTGTAGAAGGGACACTTAGAAATCTTCTCAACAGAGGGCCAAAGGGAAGATAAATGTCTCTACCATGTGTGTGTACTATTCTATATGCACAGGTGCAAATTTAGAAACTATTATTGTATTTCAAATAGAAATGTGAAACATCGCAGTGGGGGGTGGTGTTCAGTTGACCCATGGGCTGGCCTGTTCAGGTGCTTTGGTGGGGAGCAGATAGAATAGCCTTCCCTCTTGAAAATGGAATTGAACAGGAGAGCTCTTCAGAAGAAGTTGCCTTAACCTAGAGAATGCCCTTTGGCATTTATTTACTTATATTTATATCCTACCTCTCTTCCTTCCACAGAACTCAGAATTCTCCTCCTCCTCTCAGTCTTATCCTAACAACAGCACCCTGTGAGGTGGGTTGGACTGAGGGCCAGTGGCTGGCCCAAATTCACCCAGTGAGCCCCATGGCTGGGTGGGGACTAGAACCCAAACCTCCTGGATTCCCAGTCCAGCTCTCCAGCCACCACATACATTCATCCCACCTCCCTTCACATAGAAAACAAGCATTTCAGGACAAAGTAGTCAGACTAGATTTGCCTGGTGAAGTAGAATTCAGAGATGTTCTCCTGCCCACTCCATTTTACTACCTGAATCTGCAAAAGGTAAAATTAGTCCAAAGTATCACTAGGTAAGAAAACTGTCCTTGGAGCCAATGTTCTGAAGAGCAGTTTGCCTTGAAGAAGCACTTTCCAATCTAACAGCCAGCAAAATGAGTAACAGAGAGCTCGACTGGCCCCTTTCTAACCTGAAAACATTGTTTACTGTTCCAAGGTGCTATTTTTAGCAAGCCTTTCAATGAAATTGCAATGGAATTGTGTCTGCATGTACTGCAGTAGAAAAGTAGGGTTGTTTGGCTTAGGCAGAGAAGCATCTCATTAACTAAAAGTGAGGACGCATCTGTTCCCCTTTTTACTTTTGTATGGGTTAGCCCATCCATGATTCACAGTTTTAGATATGTGTTTTTCTGTAGGAGCTATCATACAATATAATGCATTTCTACTTTTACTTCTTATGTAGGCAAGCTGGGTTGTTTTCACCAAGCTTTCTCTTTGCCACTGATATTGTTTTCTCCCCTTACTTATGCATACTAATTGATTTTCACCTTTTTAAATTTTTGTGCTCAAAGTTTATTCAATTCTTTTGTCTTTTCTGGAACAGATGAGGAAGCACCCCCATCAAGAGCAGGTCTCTCTGCCAAAAAAGGCAAGAGGCTTCCAAATAGTCTTTATTATGTTAAAACTGGCCAGCTAGACTAGCCGGGTATTACAAGAGGAGTATTGCAGAGTTCATTAATAGTCAAGTTCAGAAACCAGATAGTTAGGAAAATATCAAGTCAATTCCAAACTGAACCCTTCTCCTCTCTTATGAACCAAATAGTGTTAGCTCCACCCTCAGGGTGGTTCCTGCTGCTTCTGGGACAGATGCAAAACTAATCAATTGGTCTGCTCAACTGATCTGGCATCAGACTGTAGGACCAATCAAGTTATGCCTGCCCCCCCAGGCTCTGCCTGTTCAACAATGTTTTCCTCAGAACCAGATACAGTCCAACTCCCACCAGCCACTTGGCTTATCCCAGCATTTGCTGGCCTTGGTATGACAGCTAAGAACTGTTTCTTCCAGTTTGAAGTACTACTCTAAGGTCTTCATCTTGGAATGTTGCATTTTGGGAGACGCGGTTCCCCACACCTGTATTCTAGGTCTGCAAAGATGGGAAGATACATTCTGCGTATTAAACTGAAGGCTAGACCAAGCCAAATGATTTTTCAGGAGTGGAGGTTCTTATTTGGAATGCATGGGCATCAGTAGCTTTATGTCTTTTGTTTTTAATGTTTTATTCCTTTCTTCTCCTTTTAAAAGCCTTTCCCCCATCATGAGAAAGCACTAGCAGTGGCCCTCATCTGATCTGAGCTCATCACACACCACAATGAATTAGATGAAGGATGCAGCACCACAAAACAGCAGTTTTCCTCAGATGCCTTGCAGAACAAGGTAATTGCAGCTCAAACAAGGAGTCAGTTCACAAACATGGAAAGCCAGGGGTGGCTTATGAATCGCCCTCGGTGGCTATTCAGCCCCAAGTTTCCTGAAAACTAACTGGCACAGCAGGAATCCTGAGGCATTCCAACCCTCTCTTCCCTCCCCTGCCCCCCATAGGTATCCCCAAAGACACTGCAAGAGCCCTGATGTCCCACCCCCACCCAATCCTCACTTAGTGGCAAGGGTTGGGAGGGGGGAAGTAAGAATCACTAGAAGCCTTCCACCAAGATCATCATCAGCACCTCCTGCCATGTTGCTACCATTGGGTGCCTTGGGTGCTCAGTGATGAAACCAGATGACTGAGGCACATTCTACTCAGCCTCCTCTGCAGGAGGCCAGTCATACCACATACCCCCCACCCCCATCTTGGTGGTGGCAGCATCAGATGGGGAGAAATTTGCAGACACAGTGGCAGCCTCCATGAGCTGCCTTCAGGTGCTGCTTAGGCACATTAGGGCAGCTGACTTCTAGGCCACCCCAAATAAGACATGGCAGGTTCAGATGCCATGCTATTTTTATTATTATTATTATTATTATTATTATTATTATTATTATTATTATTATTACATTTCTATGCCGCCCCTTGCCGAAACCTCGGGGCGGCTTACAACACGATGTGCTATGTGGCCCAGGCTTGTAAAATCTGGTGGTTTTCCATGCCAACTTAACCCCATCAAGTTCTCTGCTGCAGCTTCCTCATGATGTCAGGAAACAAAATGAAAGAGGGGAAGGAAAGGTTAAAACGCTGTGTCCCCAGTCCTCAAAGTATCCCTGAATTCCAATTTCTCATTGCCATTTTCATCCCTTCACTGCACCACATTTGACAACTCTCAATCCCCCTTCTAGCATCTTTTTTTTGCCTTGCCTTGCCTTGCCTTGCCTTACCCTGCCCTGCCCTGCCCTGCCATCTTGCCTTGCCGTCTTGCCTTGCCTTGCCTTGCCTTGCCTTGCCCTGCCCTGCCCTGCCCTGCCCTGCCCTTCCATCTTGCCTTGCCATCTTGCCTTGCCTTGCCTGGTAGGGGTGCACAGAAAGTGGAAAAAAGACACATTGTTATTCCTCTCTCCATTGGGTCAATTAGCTTCATAGCACAAAGTTGTTTGGTGAGAAATTCATGACAAATAAAAGGAAGCACTTTTTCACAGAGCACATGATCAGTGCCACAGGATGTTGTGATGCCCACCAATTTGGAGGTCTTTAAAAGGGACTAGGAAAGTTTGTGGAGGAGTAGGCTTTCAGGGGCTACTAGTCCTGGTGGCCACATCCCTCCTCCAGTATCAGAGGCAGTATTCCTATGTTCACCTGCTGCTGGGAAACATGGGTGGCAGTGTGCTGTTTTACTCCCACCCAGTGCTTTCTGTGGGCAACTGTTTGGCCACTGTGTGTACATAATGTTGAATTAAACCAGCCTTTGGTCAGATCCAGTAAGGCTCCTGGAAGCCTGGTGACTACACAACTCACATGTTGTCCCTGTTGGCCAGCTGCCCTCATGACAACATCACATTTGTCATTTGAAGAAATTGGAGGAAAGTTTGGTGTCAGTTTCACCTTCTCCAGCACTCAGTTTTGTAAATCTCATGTTCTTTTTCCTAGATAACAAAACACTTGGCAAATTCTCCCCTAAACCAAATTGAACTGAAATCCTACCCTATCCCTAGTTTAGTGAAGGACATGGAAGACGATGGAAGAATCAACAACAAACGAACCTCTTACATTTCTTGTATATTGTTCTGCTACAGACTGTGCAGGCATTAGCAGCTAAACAAAATTGCTATGAAGAAATATAACAGTAATGTCCTCTTCATGGATAAGTCATTGTAACAGTGTTGATATTCTGGAAGTTTTCCAGGAGGAGGAGGAAAAGGATGGACTCTACAGTCCAGTTTTATTCATCATCTACCAGGATGATATCCCCAACAGCCATCCTCCGTGGAGATGGTTGCCTTCTCACAAGCAGATCCTCATCGATCTCATCTGACCCATTCCCTCGTCCCCGGTGCTTCCTGGCTACATTGTCAAGCAACTTGCTCGCGTTACTCAGAGTCTTGTGAGCTCGCAGGCTTGCTGTTTTCGGCTTTCCTTCTACCAGGTCAGCTCCCATGGCTCTTAAGGGCTTGTTTTTTCCCAGACATACCTGCTGATCTTTCATCTGCTTCAACTTAAAGCGCTGCCTACCATTTTCCTGTGCAAAGGTGTCTGTTATCTTCCCATCCTCTTGGACGTCAGCAGCTTGGAGGGTGCCACACACGTTCTGAGGCATTAAAGGTTTACGGCATCGTATGGGAGAACCTTCAAAAGTATTCTTTTTTGCAGGCTTGGTTTTTCCCTCTGCAGGTAAAATAATCTGAACCTCACAGATGGGCTTGGTACTTGATATGTGGACACTGTCTTGATTCTCTAATGTGAACTTCTCTGTTGTCTTGGCATTATGGAAGTTTTCCAGCTCTGCCAGAGCCAAATTTTTCACCCTTTTTACATGTGGCTCACTACCAGTGGAGCCAATGCTGGCTAATTTAAAAGCAGCCAGTTGGGCATCTCTCTGGAGGCTCATGATCTTCTGCAGCTGTGCTTCTTTTACTTCCAAGGGGATATCAAGAGGAGCCAGCTTCACGGGTCTTTTCAGTACCAGGTTCTCCATGCTTTGAGACTCTGTTGCATAAAAGGGTTTAGGAGAAGTAGTGCCATCCCTAGATACTTTTTCAGGATGGTTTTTAATCTCCTCCTTCATTGGCTTAGTCTCTGAAAGGTTGGGAACAGAGCAGTGGAAGCTGGAGGATCGGAGACCTTCCCTGGTTTTGTCATCTCGCAATACTAGGGTGGTTTTCTTAGCAGGTTGCAGGTTCATCAGAGTAACTTTACTGACTGTGCAATTCAACTTGGGCGTTCCTTCATCTGTTATCTGGGGAAAAAACAAATAAATAGCCATTTCAGTGACCTGGTGCCTTGTATGTCTTCAGAAGTGCCTTTATTTAAATCTATTTTTCTGTGAGAAAATTGAATTCAGTCTGGCTAGAGAACTCTGTTCATTAATCTACAGACCAATGACAAAAATATCAGCTCTTGTCCCACTTTGGAATGGAGACCAATTTACAGGGTTCGGTCCTTGTGGTGCTGCAGATCAGCAAGGGAATTTAAATCCCTAAGAGGCTACACACACACAAACACGGTTTCAATTGCCCAATGCAATGCTTCTACCTAGGTAAAAGCAACCTCATCAAGTTGGGCAAGGTTAATTCACTGGCACAGTTGCTTACATTTGTTGACGTATTGCAACACCAGCTTTCACCCCAATTCATGGTGTGCCACAGCTGAGGTTCTCTATAGTTGTCTCCAAAAACGGGACGGTCCTCTCATCCTTGCTTTGCTAGATTTAGCACCGGATGGAAAGAGCCCATTCATGAACAGAGAGCCAGTCCCTTATCTGAACACACTATATGCAAAAAAGCGAATTGCAAAAGTGGCTTTGTTTTACTCAAGCAGCAGTGAAGCAAATGGACTGATAGTTCCATCCTTCCACACAGTGACAGATTTCTACAGGAACCCACATCAAAGGTTGAGTGTGTGCTAAGTGCAGGTCTTTGAAAGGTGGCTTGCTCTTAAAATGTCAGTTTTCATGTTGCCAGAGTCTGATCAAGATAAGAAGCCATGCTGAACAACCCACAGTTCACAGTCCAAAAACAAACCGTAAGTTCTCTCCAGGGGTTGTTCATATTGACCATCTGCCTCTCTGTGGCTGCCCATATAGCCATGCCAATTCCCTTGGACTCACCCACTTTCTCCCAACTCCCCATCTTTTGGTGGTTTCCGAGTCTTTGCACAGAACTTTCTCCCATTCTGAAATCTTTTTTTTTAGTTTTTGGGTTTTTGTTTGTTATAGTTTTACTCCCATGGCTTAATTACCAGAAGGAAGGGCTTTAAGCTGGAATGCACTGTTTCTTTGGGTCCTCCCATTTTGCCTTCAGCTCTGCTCACCACTGCCGCCTCCAAGGGCTTCTCCAAAGTTGAACCCATCTTTCAGTCATTGAGAGGTTCAACACCCTGCTAGAAATGTTCACTGGCCAGATACACAGTAGAAGATGTAGGGTGGATGTCAGGAAGTACTTCCTGACGGTTAGGACCTCTAGGGTATGGAAAGGGCTTCCACAAGGGATGGCTGAAGCCTGAACAGTGAGGGTGTTCAAGGATAGGCTGGACATGCACCTGGTTGGCATGTCATGAGTGAAGCTGGCTGGAGCCAGGGGTCAGACTAGATGGCCCAAAAGACCCCTTCTGACTCGCTCTGTTTCTGTAAAGGTTGCTGGATTTGTAAGTTGATGCTTTTATATTGTTCCAAGAACTTTGGCTAGATTTCCTTCTTCCTAGATTTGGCTAGATTGCCTGCCTGCTTTTCTTGCTCCTCATTTTGAAGGCATATAAATATGTAGACTTCATCTTCCTTCTCCTTCCTTTTGCCCACCTGAAATTTACCTCCGCAGAGCAGCTGCTCACCCTTGCTCTGCGACAGCTCAATCCTCCTGAAGCCTGTACTAATGAACTTAACCTCTGTCAAGCCTTAAGCACAACCATTTGCTCTCCCTTCCGCTGCACATGTCACTTAATAGGCCTGCTAAGTACTTACTTGCTTGGTGATTAATGATATGCAGGACCCAGCTGCTTTGCGGGTCCCTTCTGTTGTTTGCTGCACCGCGGAAGCATTGTTCCCAGCACCTGCAGGCAAACTCTTGTGTGAAAGGCTTTGTATATTTGCTGATATGGCACAGGAACAGCTACTGAGTCTGATCCTTGTTCCATCTTGCCCTGAACTGCCGACACAGACCAGCAGCGGCTCCCTGGGGTCTCCTAGCCCTATTTAGAGATGGGATAGGTTCATCGAGGGCCTTCTGCAAACAAAATAGGTGTTTTATGCTTAGCAACAAGACTGCACCATCCAATGTGGCTCCCCTTAGCTTTCTGAACTCAAGGATAATGGGAATCCTATTGGGGGGTAGAAGAGTGCGGAGGCTAAGTCTTCTGCCCTGGAACATAGGGAGGGCTCCACCAAGACACTGCACACTGGGGCAGAGTCCATCTTCTCCACTCCCTCCCTGCCAGAACACCCCAAAATTTCTAATTCTGGGGTGGGGGGAGCTTGCAACCACAGAGGTGGAGCTGATGCAGTTCTTTCCATGCTCACTGCAAAAGCAAATGGGCGAGGAGGGGCGCAGACCTCAGAGGTGGGACCCTCACTAGGGATGAAGACAGAGACTTTGATCTGAGTTGTTATACTAAGCAAGGCACGTTCACGCATGCATTGCTCAGAACACATGAGCACTACATAAACCATTGCATGTACGAATGAATAATTGTGTCACTCACCCCGTGAGCAAAGCAAATACATTGCATAGATATGCACTGATTTCTATCTGGGTTGCAGTAAACAAACCGGGATGCACAGTGGGAGGATCCAGATTTAGACATCGTTAGAGTAGGCACATTGATTTGCATGAGTGTGGCTAAGTCTGACTCCAATGGCAGCAGTCCGCACATCCCATTATGTGAACCAGTCTATTGGCGGAACATTGCTCTCCTTGTATTCACCCAATCTTGCTCTATCTTCAGGTTGGGACTGCAGTCAGGGCTCGGAGAGCAGCGCACATCACTGATCCACTTAGCCAGAGGCAAGCTGCCTTCAGAGAGAGAGCTAGCCCAGGTTAAATCCAAGCTAATTTGAAGTCCTTGGAATGCCCTGGACCAGCACGTGCTTGTGTCCTCGGTCCTCTCATGCATTGCTAATGGCTTGCTGCTCAATGCACTGCTTATTCAATACGGCGCAGCATTTGCCTGGCATGGAATGCACTGGGGAGCTGTGCAGAAACCTTTGATGCAAGACCTGTCTACACTTACAAGCAAGAAAACCTACCAATGCAAATGATTTGGCAGATGCTAGTGCATACAAAATCCTGGCCTCCCAGGGTTCCCTACTTAAAGTCTTCCAGTTAGAGGGGGGAAAAAGACATAAAATGCTCAGAAGAATTAGGTATCTGTTCCATTTTGAACTTCAGACTCCGATCTCACACAGTGGTCTGCAAAAACACCTGGTATTTTCAGATTTAATCACCTGACACCGTCAAGACCTGGCAGTGCGTACAGGGGCATCTCGTTATAAGACTGTGACCAAGTTCTGTATTGTTCCATATTGGTTGGCATGTGTTATTGTATGTATTTTGCCTTGCCCTTTCCTTTCTTTTTATTTCTGGATGAATCCATCAGAAGGGTTTAGAAATTTGCTATTATATTTCCAGCACTTATCCATACCTGCAAATATGTGATTCATATTCACATATCCATAACCATGGATATGTCTTGCAATGAATGGATGTACTTTGCATTCTCTCCACCCTTACATTGGCAGGTCAAGAGCAGGGATGTACAAGAATTTCATGCAATACTCCTAAGCTTCAGCATTTGTTCCATTCGTATGTGAATGCTAAACTTGCAAATTCCCACCTTGCAAAAAAAAATCATTTGGAAGAAAACCGTGCACTTCACAAGTGTGCACTTTTTTTGCTCATAAAAAAAGCAATTTCGCATTTTAGTCCATGGAGGAAACATATGCATGCATGCTTTGAAAAATGCACACTTTTCCTGCTGCAAGAGCTCAAGAACAAAGCAAAGCAAACCAAACTTCAAGGTGGAATTCAGAGAATTCTGAACTAATGGATTCTTTCTTCCCTGAGAAAGAGGAACCTACATCCAAGGAGCTGTTAACTCTGTGATAATGGCAATGCATAAGATCTGCTTTCCTATTCATTGGGGTGAAGTTGTTAACATTCAGTAAAGACCAAGACGGTTGACTCATTTTTCTCCCAAATGCTTCTTACTACGAAAGTTCAAATATTTGATCCTATGCAGACTAACTTGGGAGTGGACCCTCTGAACCCAGCAAGTCTTATTTCTGTGTGAACATGTGGAAGAATTTAAATGTCTCCTATGGGGTTGCATTCAAAATAATTCTCGTGGCTGACTGGCCTAAACCCTCTTGATGAACGTTGTGGCCGAATAAGGTTTATGGTTTTTCTGATGCAAATGTAGCAACCTGCCAATGAAAAAAATCACAAGGAAAAACAGAGCAGACACAATACGTTGTGAACTGTGCAGCTGAAATTCCCTGGCATTATTACCAAATTCAACTTCTGCTGCACAGATTTGTGAAACAATGACTCGCAGCCATGGCAGATTGCAGTCATAATCCAAGATCGCAAGTGGGTAGTCGGTGCAGAATTCCAGGGAAACTGAAAGCATGTTGATAAGATTCTTAATATTTTTTGGGAGTTTCGCTATTCTATAGGCATTTTCCTTTTGTTTCTTATAATTAAACTTATATAATCCAGGGAACAGGAATGGATCACAGCTGACATAATAGTCAAGTCATTTCATTTTTTCCATTCATTTGATTTCTATACAACTCAAGAGCCAAAGCTCTCTAGGCAGGTCACAAAGTACATGGAACCCATCCCAGATATGTTCCAAACTCTTTCCACTACAAATGCAAAACAAATTTATATATTTCTATGAACCAACTCAATTTGACCTCCCAAAAGTGAATACATTTTCTGAATGAATTTGCAAACCTGTGATCCAGTTCGCCCACCCAAAAGCATATACCGAAAAATACATACATTTGAAAAAGTTGCATGAAAAATGCATGCATTTGAAGGAAGTAATGGGGGCAAATGTGTGCTTTTAAAAAGCAAACATCACCCCAACTGAAAACCACTCTCAGCGGTGTGTATACCCATGCCAAAGCAAAGAAAATGCTCACAACCTGCCACTTACTTTTGAGATGGAAATCGGACAACTTCTCTGAGCTCAGGTCCCACGCCCATCCTTTCTGCAAAACTACCTAGCGTCCTTCTATAA